CAACGTTTATTCATATAAATTTCAAAGATTTGAGAACCCTTTTCCAATTGTTACGTGTTGTCTGTCAACTTATCTGAACTATCCAGGGTCGGATTTCCCAAAGGGTCAACGTACATCCAATGGCTTGGGGTGCAGCAGTCACGAGGCGTATATACAGATGAAATAACAAATAAATATGTAAATACTAGGCGACCCGCGGCGTAGCCTACGCCGCGAGTTGTGCGCATGGCTGGCAAGCAAGGGTGGATATAGCTAGGGTGGATATAGCTAGGGTGGATATAGCCCGCCAAACATTGGCGACAGCAATACGTGAACTTCCCATCTACTTAAGTTTCTTGACAAAAACGTAAACTCAATTTTGCTACACCCCCCCCCTCCCCTTCCTTTTTTTTTTTCATGATACGTTAATGCGCACTTTTTATTTCACGCCCATGAACTATATAAATATATAGCCGACCCGCGGCTTAGCAGACGCCGCGAGCTTGTTGGAGTGTGCGCATGGCTGGCAAGCGAGGGTGGTGCAGGAAGGGGGCGGTAGCTCCACCATAGTGCGCATGTCTTGAGATCAACGATGGGCAGGCAAGGGAAGGGAGGGGAGGGTTTGCCTGCGTCTTGCTTGCTCTGGCGTATCTATATATAGCATGCGTCTTCTTGCGTGTCCTATTTTCTGGCGAATTATATAAATAGATTTTCAGTGTTTTATATATATTTTTAAGAGGTCATAAATGCTGCAGTGGTGAAGATTTGAATTAAAAATATAATATGCTTCATTTTATAAAGATTGTAAAAATTATTTTTAAAATATAAACTTTTACATTAAATATAATTAAATTGAAATTTATAAATATAAATTTTGATGGAGCAACAAGAATTATGTGCTTTTTCCTTTGTTGCAGAAATGTGTGAATCCGGCCCTGGAAATTAGAATTATTATATAGGCTCAGGGCTCGGAGAGCGCACCCGACAATTTTATGTTCGGTCCACAAGTGCTTGACTCGCGCTGTCCAGCGTAGCAGCCCCCCCCCCCTCCCTCTCCAGCGTAACATTCATTTCATTTATATCTTACAAAGCGTATCCGGAAATTTGATCCAAATAAATTTCGTCGATGGTATATTGATCGACGGTAATTTGATCGAACGGAAATTTGGTCGAAACTTTTTTTTTCTTCAGTTTTTACCTTAAAATTTTGCTTCAACTTTCTTTTTGAACGCATTATGTTGTTTTACTCTATAGTAGAGTGCATTCAAAAAGAAATTTGACGAACATTTTAACTTGTGAACTGAAAAAAAGATTTTACCAAATTTCCGTTCGATCAAATTTCCGTCGACAAAATTTCTTTCGACAAAATTTCCGGTAACCTTTACAAAGTGTTCAGCACGAAAGTTCCTTGGGTCCTACATTATTTTTTTTTGTTTTACAAATGCGAGTTGACTGAGTGGATAGTTAGTTGTAGGCTATAATGAAATCATTTAACTTAGTATTTCCTGAAGTAAAAATATTTGAAATGTCACTGCGATATCATTTTATCTTCTTTTTTTCACTGTTTTATGACGTGTTTCCTTGTTGTGGCAGGCCTTTGTGGTTTTTAAAGGAAAACCAAAGATGGCTGAAGGCACCGGATGAGATGCTTGGAGGAACTAGTTAGAGATTTTAAAATATTTTTTTAATGAACATTTAAAAATACTTCAATTAATAATTCATTCCTTCATTTCATCCCTAATACCACATACCGGGTACCTTTCAAGGTTAGAGGAAAATTGTACGAAATCACCTTTTTTCGATCAGAAATTGGTTCAAAGAGAAGTTTCATAGCAAAGTGACAAAATAGCAGTAAAAGATTTATGTTTCCCCAATTTCCATTAAAACATGTTTTAAAATAAATAAATAAATCTCCAGTTAATAAATTTCATTTTGAACAAACTTCCAAAAAAAATGTATGTATTATTTTGTTGACGCTCTGTAACGACAGAGTCACGTGGGCACAATCCAGCAGAGACGAGTCTTGCTTGTAGATGGCTCGAGTGAGGAGGCGTGTGTGGGGGGGTGGGGGATACCTAACGTGGCGTCACGTTAAGAATGAACGCCTGCCTTAACTGTGACTCGTGAAGGTCATCACGGGGTAGGCTCAGGCTGACACTGGAAGAGAGGGTCTAGACGAGTCTTGCTTGTAGATGGCTCGAGTGAGGAGGCGTGTGTGGGGGGGGGGGGATACCTAACGTGGCGTCACGTTAAGAATGAACGCCTGCCTTAACTGTGACTCGTGAAGGTCATCACGGGGTAGGCTCAGGCTGACACTGGAAGAGAGGGTCACGCAGGGTGGCGAACAAGGCGACCACCCAAGGCCCCATGCTTATAATATTATAACTTATTAATAAAGTTAGGCCGTACGTATTCATGGATCATAATTTCCAGTCAACACAATGTTTGGATGTAAAGATAATCAATTGAAGCTGCTTGTCTTGCCAACTACGAGCTGGGGATTTTTGCATTTCTGCTTTCCATGGTCATGCAGTATGACGTCCTGTTCACTATCAACACCGCCAGAGAGAGCTTGCAGACCTCGGCTGTGCCATTTGCTGTATCCATTACAAACAGAGTAGAAAGATTTTCAAAGGTAATTGAACATCGAGCCATTTTTTAAAGACCACCGCAAGAGGCGAAGACAGAGGCAGTTTGAGTATGAATCTAGAGACGAGACACTACAGACGCCTAAAGAATCTTGAGGATAGAGATAGAGTATATCTTGTGGTTAGAAGAACGAAGGTTGGGATCCTTGGATAAACATTTCCAACAACTGCAACTGTACGATGACATTTGTGGCCTTCTATTCGATATTCAACAACTGTGTCTACCGTGACTCTGGATAATTTGGACAACAACTGTGTCTACCGTGACTCTGGATAATTTGGACAACAACTGTGTCTACCGTGACTCTGGATAATTTGGACAACAACTGTGTCTACCGTGACTCTGGATAATTTGGACAACAACTGTGTCTACCGTGACTCTGGATAATTTGGACAACAACTGTGTCTACCGTGACTCTGGATAATTTGGACAACAACTGTGTCTACCGTGACTCTGGATAATTTGGACAACAACTGTGTCTACCGTGACTCTGGATAATTTGGACAACAACTGTGTCTACCGTGACTCTGGATAATTTGGACAACAACTGTGTCTACCGTGACTCTGGATAATTTGGACAACAACTGTGTCTACCGTGACTCTGGATAATTTGGACAACAACTGTGTCTACCGTGACTCTGGATAATTTGGACAACAACTGTGTCTACCGTGACTCTGGATAATTTGGACAACAACTGTGTCTACCGTGACTCTGGATAATTTGGACAACAACTGTGTCTACCGTGACTCTGGATAATTTGGACAACAACTGTGTCTACCGTGACTCTGGATAATTTGGACAACAACTGTGTCTACCGTGACTCTGGATAATTTGGACAACAACNAGAGCCAGCCCTGGCTCACGTGGTAAAAAAAAAAAAAAAAAAAAACACTGGATATACCGGTACTATGGACAAGAAAACGTGACGGATTTGTGAGGAGACAGAAAATTGAATTTTTAAGAAAACGCTTTCGAGGCTCTGTACATAAGTTAACTGACACTTTGCCTACTGAAACTGTGTGTTAAAATTCGTCATCGGAAGTGGTTTTAAGTAATTTATGACAGTCAATTATTTCACCCCAGTTTCTTTTTGGAAGTAGGCATTCATCTTTACCACAGGCTGAACATCGATTTTGTAAAAAAATTTTTAAAAAAGTAAGCATTTGAGTTTCATGATTTTTTAAAATTTGTTTTCTAGCATTGCATTTTGCATGGCCTTTCTTTTGGCAATGATATGTGAGCTTGTTCACTTGCCCAAGAGTGTGTGGGCCTAGTGTGTATCCACTGATTACTGAACTCATTCTGCTAGTCAGTCTTCAGCATGGAAGAGTATATTACTAAGAGATGTTTTAAAAAATGAACACAGTTGATTATAAATTATATAAATCTATGACCCATTTCTATCAAGTAATTATTACTTAAGGTAATAAGTGTGACGTCATGTTATAATAAAATTATATGGTTCTGACTATATAACTATAACAAGTATGATGAGTCCATGTTGCCTTGTTATTGGATTATGTCAAAAGTGCTGTTACAAGTATAACATATTAAGCATCCTTGTAGATATCTCGTTATTTTTATCCTGTTTCCAGAAGTAAGAGAGAGAGAGTCTCATTTTGTGACCTCCCGCCTAAAATTGATTGCAGACGACAAATAACAACCACGAGACAAGAGCTTGTCAGAAATGATGGCTCATTTAAATAACGACCTTCATAAGATTAAGTGCGTTACTCTAGAAAATGTTGACATACTGGGGAGGTACATACTTATATGCTTGGTATAGGGTGACTACTACTATATGTAGTAACAATAGTCCACGTTTTTGGGTCCCAATTACTGTAGTACTCCAGGAGGTGTGCATTATGGTGTCCCCAATACTGTAGTACTCCAGGAGATGTGCATTTATTGTGTCCCCAAATAACTGTAGTACCCCAGGAGACTTGCATTTATTGTGTCCCCAATGCTGTAGTATGCCAAGAGATGTACATTTATTCTTGTACAGTTGTCAATATTTACGTTTTGTCTGTGAACTTTAAATCAACGTTTCTAGTGATAGAACAAAAAGTGTTACCCTTGAGGTAACTGCCCTATCATCATACCTTTGAGGTAACTACCCTATCATCATACCCTTGAGGTAACTGCCCTATCATCATACCCTTGAGGTAACTACCCTATCATCATACCCTTGAAGTAACTGCCCTATCATCATACCCTTTAGGTAACTGCCCTATCATCATACCCTTGAGGTAACTACCTTATCATCATACCTTTGAAGTAACTGCCCTATCATCATACCCTTGAGGTAAGTACCCTATCATCATCCCCTTGTGGTAACTGCACCATCATCATACCCTTTAGGTAACTGCCCTATCATCATGTTATCGGTAAGTTAGCAACTATTTTCATTCACGCTAGTGTTGCTAAAAATAGTTTCAAACTGTTGAACTTTCTGTGGGTAAAAAAGGCAGACATGATGATGCAATCACTCAAAAAAGATTGTCTAGAAAAGTTATACACAAACCACTGTCCACCATTGAAACCTGTTAATTTATAATGTCTCTAAAACTACTACTTATATCTCTTAATGTAATCCACCCTGACAAACCTTGCACAGAAATGGTATTAAGTTTGGTAGATTATCACTTTAGGGAACACAATTGACTCGTGTAAGCACACAGTTTTTTTTATTCCAATATTTAAGCAAAATCGAGCATTTTTTATACACAAAAATGATTATTCGAATGCAAGAAAACAATGCAAATTACACTATAAAGTGAGTACATCAGGTCAATTGGAAGGAGTATAATATCAAAACCACGTTATCGGGTTGTCCCATGGTGTAATGCTGGTTGTCTAGGCAACAGAAGTTTGGATATGGCCACTTATTACAATGGCAACAAAATCTCTATAAGACAAATACAGTAAGTAAAACGGGTGGCAGGCGGTACAAGTCAAAGGGCACACAGTTTAACAAAAGATTTACTGCTGGTACCTTTGTTCATTTTTATATCTTACTTGGCTCTACGGCTCTATTCATTTTTCATTACATATTGATAGCAAAGTCAAAGTTAGCTCAAATAAATATAGCTCCAGCTGCTCTGTTGCATGTGTTTTTTCCATCAAAGTAACAAAAAATGTATATTTACAATAATTAGTATGACAATGTAGAAGAGTACAAAGGTATCCAGAGTCCTGGAGTGTGCAATCATAAATATTTCTCTATAAGATTGTTTAAAATATATAAGGAATAATAAATTATTTTTTTTACCTTACATAAATTTTTAAACATGCTCTTAGAAAAATAAAACATTTTTCTTTCCTGATTGCATGCTATCACCATACGCTGCAGCTGTGAACACAAATTTGAGTTTTGAGTTGTCCATGTTCAGACTTCGCTGCCATGGTAGCATTATGCAAAAATATTATGGGCCATGCAAGTTACACATGGTCAATCATGTCATCATATTTACTCCCTGAGAAGCACGTTGGATAACATTTAAGGACTGAACAACAAGCATTGCAATGAGTTCTTTGTACAATAACGCTTTGGTCAGAACTAAATGAACACAACTAAAGTCCCCCGCTTTATCATGTCACCTCAGACAGCTTTGTCTAAACTATTTACACAACAAGGCTTACAAGTCTGGCAAGCTTACAGCACAAAAACAATTTAATTAAGATACACAAAAATTACAAGCACTGCCTCTGTCATTTAACAAGAAGGAGCACTGGATTTCAATATGTTCCAATTATGCCATGAGGAGAAGATTGCTGTACAACAGGCTGTCCTTCTGTCACAGTCTGATGAGAAGATTGCTGTACAATAGGCTGTCCTTCTGTCACAGTCTGACTCATTTTGTCATTATAAAAAAATGTAACAAACAACAGTCATAACCTGTTGAAAAATGGAAAGAATAAATTAGCATGATGGGTGGCTGTAGAACATATGAGGGCAAGAGCTGTTTCCAGTATCAAAACCTTAACCACAAGTATCTTCTGGCCCCAGAAAGCAGCTTTTCCTATACATTTTTTTTACCCAAAGCAAGTGGTGTTAGAGTAGCAGTAGATTTAATTGTTACATATAATTTTAATCAATCACAAGCACGTCTCACGTTAAATGACTTTGGACATAGAATAACTTATATTACTACCAAACACCAGTTTCATCTGTTCCATTTCCTCAACAATAACATCACCAAACCATCTACAGTCTATACCTAGGCAGATCAAAAAACTAATATTGCTTAAGTAGAAGACAGATGCTGTTGAACACACCTTAAGCCCAATTGTATTGATGGGGATCAACGTGCTATAATACACTTTCATCAACAACGTGTACTTTGTAATACTGTCTTATCTGGAAGAGTCAGAAGAATCAAGAGATATTAACATATTTTAAATAAATTTAAAGAGAGAGAGAGTGGGGGTGGAAAAAGGGAAGTGGGGGTTTGGACACAGATTTTAATGCAAGGTGAAGAATATTGGAATCCAAATATGTTAAAAAGCTCATCTAGATTACCATTTCTGTGGCATTGAATAGGTGAGGCTCATATCCAACTGCATAACATTGGAAATAAGCAATCTGTGTGGATCTAAGGTAAATTTTGTAATTTATTTTTAAAAAGTAAGAAAATATGATCAGCATCATTTAGCAGAGTGAGTGAGATGTTTGGTGGCATACACCTGGCAAAAACTATTTACCTTGAGCTGTGTTTGGTTCAGGTGAAAGACATTGCTCTGCATCTTCAGACAAGCTAAACTCCTCAGGCTTGACTTTTGACATATTCACATTTTGCCTATCATACCCCTCAAAAGTGTCAGAGGCAGAAGTTTCTTCACCTGTGGCATTTATTGCTTCTGCTAGTTGTTCCTGCAGTTCTTCTTCAGCTAACATAGAGGCCTCCTCTGATCCATTTATATCTTGAGATGTGCCCTTATCAGCTGACAGCTCTGCAACTACAACTCTTGCTATGTCACTTATGCTGCCCCTGTCATCCTATCATAGGTAAGGAAAGAAGAAAGCAAGTTTTTTAAAAAAGAAAATTATAACAAGAAATAGCAAAAAAACTTTTCCAAGGCTAAAAGTTTAATAATATTGCTATCAGGTGTTTTATCTTTCTATCTATTTCTAGGAAAATTACTAAAATAATAATAACGAAGTACTAAAGCATTGCTATCCTGGAGACAAAATCTTTTAAAATATTTTAGAATAAACACATGAAAAGTGAAGCCTACAGACAGCTTTGCTAAAAATGACAAACACAATCTTTTTAAATGATTTTGATTTTTTTTAATGCTGTTAATTAATTTTAAACAATTAAAGTAATATGATTAAATAGTTTTAATTTTAACAGGAAAATACCGTTAAATCCTGGATACCTTACTTCATACAATCAACTTATCTCTAGACTGACCTGAGAAAGTTGTCTCAGCCTGTGACGAATCAGTGGCTCCATTCTTTGGTGCTCCATCTCTTCAGCTTTCATCAGCTCCAACTGTTTACTTTCTGCTGGTGAGTCTCCCTCGTAGTAGCTCTCAGAAACTGAGAAAATGATTCCAGCGTTTGGCACAGGTGAACAGGGCGGGGAGCAGTCCATCAGACAAGATGTGTCAATGTTGTCAGTGATGCTAGTGTACTCTCCTATCAATGGTGTGAACATGGACGTCAGATCGTGCACCGCCGCTGTTGCTATGGCATCTGTGTTCTGAGCCGTGAAGTAGGCAGAGGACTGGGGCATTGAGCAGGGGATGAAGGTAGAGGCGGCCAGTGTTGTATTGAGTTTGAGCGGTTGACTAGTTAAGCTGTTTCTGCCCCTTCTGGAATACAAGGCTGCAGCAGGAGTCTTGGTGGCTGGTAGAACAGGGGATTCTATAGGAATAGCGAATTCAAGTTCATCAAGGCTAACATCTCTGTCTGATTTAATGGGTGAAGAATTTACTTGGCCAACATCAGTAGTACCTTTCTGTTTCTCAGATTTTAGTTCATCTGTGTGATCACCTTTTTCTTTAGTATCACCACATGAAGTGTTTAGAACTTCAGTGCTTAAGCCAATAAAGAATTTGACATCACCTAGTTTTCTAGACTTCATTAATTCACCTTCATGAAGCTCGGCACTTTCACCAATAAAATGACCCATTTCATTTTCTTGTATTTCCAAAGTATTATTACTTAAGAAACCAAAGGCATATCTGAAAATAGAACAGGGTTGTCATTAATATAATTTTGCTTAAGTTTTTTTTTGTTTCTTATACATTTATTTGTCACCTAAACATTTATTTGTCACCTAATATTCTTTAAAGCTCTAAGAAGGAAATATAAAACACAAGGGCTGGGGGAAAACCTGAAAACATCATACATGTTGGCAAGAAGCTTTCATCAACAAATAGAACAGTACCAATAATTAAAATTTTGTTAAAAATAATTAAAAGTTTTAACTGACTCAGGAAGTTTATGAGCTGCAGTTTCTTCAGTAAACTTGTCTTCAGTGGCTTCTGAACAGCTAAAATTGCTTGCATTAGATTGTCGCTTCCTCCTACTGTAAGGAGATGTGTCGGGCAACCCCAGGTTTAGCTGAAAATTATGAACATAAAGAATGTGATCTGGCACAAGAACTTTCAGTTAGTAAATAAATTAGTTCTGAGTTTGCTTGTTTTTTTCAAATACATTATTCTGAACTTTACAAACACGTGACGTCATAAATTCAAAAGTTAACTTAAGAATAAATCAACTTACAGACTCCTCACAACACTCTACATCCTTCATGGCCAATTCTTTGATCATTTTTATGGCTTCTGATAAATTTCTCTCCAGGTCTTCAAAGTGACCCATGTGATGATCAAGGACTCCCAGAGTCAGTTGGAGGTGGTTCTCTTTCATATTAATATCATCAAGCCGTAGGGACATGTTTTCAACTCTGACAATTAGACATTATTTAAAGTGAAATTTTTACCAAAAACGATCAAGTCAAAATGACATGTAACTTGCTATTTACCCAATATAACAATTAAAATTTTATGCAGCTAAAAGTTTTTAACTAAATAATTTTTAAAAATATTTTTTTAATCTTTTGTTAAGCCTTTACTTCCTGTAAAACAAAAGCAAACTGATTTATAAATTTTAGTTGACATATTTAGTTTACCTTTCCGCTATAAACTTTAATCGTTCTTCTGAGGAATTCTGATGTTTTAATTCCTTTTCTCTGTTCAGATCTTCCATGCATTCTTCCTCAAAATCATGAAGTTTTTCTGTGTCCTCATGGGACAAGAAGAGCTCTATAATGTAAAATAAGAAACCAATGTTTACTAATCATGGTTCATGCATACGACAAATTTCATCATTTCATAGTATGAAATTTTCAGACATATTTGAACTAGAAATATATTATATTTAAAAAATTAAGAAGTTTTAAATATGCATAGGTAAAATAAAAGTTTTTTTTTTTGAAATGTTATGAAAAATGTTATGGAATAGGTAGCATATGAATTATTCATGATAATTGTTCAAATATAATAAGTGTCCCTATAAGTAAGAAATTTGTAACCCTTCAAATGGAAGCAAACACTTTGGTTTACATTCATTTCAATTCTAAAAATAACATTTCCAAAGTGCTCTCCTTTACTAAATCAGTATTACATGTTTAATTTTCTTGCTATTCAGTGAAGTCTTTCAAATTCAAATAACATTTTTTGAGCATTCAAAATAATGACAAAAAATTGAACATTTTTTAAAAATATAGACCAGTTAACAAAAAGATGAGCATTTTTTGGCATAAAGTTCCTAATTTATATAATTATGACAAAATTAAAATTATGATAATTTTGAAAATGCTTCTTGTGACTTACTCAGCCCATTGTCATAAAAATCACGTTTTCCTTTGCATCTTCGTTTAATGTACTTGAAGGCCAAGTAGATATGGGTGATAATAATAAAGGGAGGAGGTAAAATTGGTATCATTTCATATTGAAGAATCAGGGCATAGCGTTGGAACATCCAGATTTCTTTGGAATTGGCATTGTTTCTTATAAATGTTGCACTGAAAATAAAGATTTTAAAAAAAATTTGTCTTTAAATTAAACTTGAATTCCTATAGTTACAAAAATAGTATCTAATTACCAAATTTATATCCATTTTTCATTATGTCACCACAAGCAAAATAACCATAAAATCCAAATATAAACATAAACATCGAGACTGTTGGTATCTTTTATATAATGAATTAACATGAATGATGTCTATGTTTCCCTTGTATCTATCAGAAAACTGTCAATTTGAAAGACAGATGTAAGTTTACAATCTGTGATATTGGGAAAGTCACTCTTTGACATTTTGTTTATGAATTCTTGCCATTAGTGAATTACTCTTCTATAGAAACTTTTCTTTGAGTTTTGCACCCTGATGCAGTTGCAGCAAGCACACTAAAAAAATGTGGGAAATATTCCTGTGAGAAATCATCTATATGGGGAAGTATCCATGTGGGGAATTTTCTGTGGAAAATCATATTGTGGGAAATTTTAACTTGTGAAATTTGGATGTGGGGAATTTCCTTGTGGGGAATAATCCATTCACCATTGTAATTTAGATATTCATTGAATGCTCACATTAGTTCATCAGATATGATATTTACTAGGTTATCTTTAAAAAATTAATTAATTAAAAGATACTGACAATCTTAAGATAAGACCAATTAAAATCAAATGGTTCTGCATTGTTCCCTGAAACGCGTAGCATTTACTCAGTTAAAAAGTGTCAGGAAAAAGAATTTTAAAATTGTACTCACTTGAATCTAGCAATCAGCAAGTTGACCATGAGGATGTTTGCCACTAACATAAAAATGGTCATACAAGCTGGGGCCAGCCATGACGCATAGATTGTGCAGTTTCCTTGCCCATCATTATTTTCACTAATATCACAGGCTAAAATAAGTAAAAGGAAAGCTGGAGTTAATTTCATATTAGCATGAATTAAGACATTGGGGGACATAGTGAAACTTAAGAACAGGGACCCATAGGTATTTATGCCTAATTCATAGAAGTTTACTGTGACATCCGACGCTGTTTATGATATTTCCAAAGGTCTCTGAACATTCAGTCGAGGGCTGTTTGAGACTTGGGGAACATATGTGGGTAATCCCAACCAGAACCAGAGCATTGGATAAAGTATAATGATATTTTTTTTAGGTTGCTATCTCCCTGAAGTTAGATACGAGCTATTTATTCTGATTCCTGTCTAAAACTATTTAAATTATACCCAAAACCAGAGAGACAGAGAATTATATTGATTAATTTGACATGAACAATTTGTGTAAATAAAATATGTTTAGCTTTAATAATGATCATACAAAATACAAAGAAACGTTCATACAAGTATAAATTAAATTTACATAATATATTTATGCATGTATCCTACTACAAAAAAAAGTTCAGGAGAACGAAAAGGAAGTCTTAATCAGGAACTTCTGCCCACTCTTATTCTTTCTCTCATTTTTAGGGTAGGATACTTGTATTTATCTTATGTAAATTTAATGTATACTTATATGAATGTTTCTTTGTTTTGTACTTCTCATGAAGGAATTTGCAGAAAAATGTACATTTGTATTCTTTATGATCATTATTAAAGCTGAGCATAAATAGTTTTATTTACAAAAATTTGTTTGTTTCAAATTAATCTACTTGAAAGTTTTATCTCAGTCCAACACTCTTTCAATTAAATATTCTACATTTAATCTAGATAGAATTTGTAACATCAGGTGCATCTAAATTCACAGGACAAAGTTAAATTAAAAATGTTGTGAATATAAGAATAGTATATTACAAATAATGATTCCCTAGAAGAAAATTTAAATTAATAATAACTATTACTTAAGAAAATATTTCTTTTGGCGATACAAATATGAAGAAAAAAATTTGCCCAGGCTGGGGATCAAGCCAACAAAATTTGCATTATGAGCACAACAAGTAATGATTTTTAAGGCTAAAAGTGATGATAAACCTAACAATCAGACAACATAATTGTCAGTTTGAAAATAAGGGGATAAAGAACATTTTTAATTGAAAATTTAACCAAAAACTTGCCTTTATAACATTAATGTCAATTTCATCATTTTTTTCATAATGGGCACTTACGGTCAATCTCTTCAGCAAATAACTCCCCGTAAATGTTCCAGTATGGATAGAACCAAACATTGCGCAACCGTAAAGGCCAGGATACATTGTCTGCTTTGTTCTGGTACAAGACAGTCTGTCTCACAACACCATAACATGTCACAGCAATGAAAACAATGGTGAGAAAGTAGCACATGTCACGCAGCTAGGGCACAAAGAAAAGAGTACCAATTTAAGAAACGGTGATGATGGAATGAAATTATCTGTATATTTAAAGTGTGGGTAGTAAATATTCAAAAAGAAACATGACTAGAATGTAATGATATGAATTAGTGTACATAATCTGAATCATTTAGCTTCCGTCTCATATAGAGCCCTTCTCGTTATAAACATAGAGCTACGTTGACTGCATTGAGATTTTCTTAACACATTCGTTTTTTGAATTTTTAAATTTCTAATTATTTGTTGTTTCTTGTTTTGAATTGTCTGCTGAAGAAGGGATCTAGCCAAAATGTCCTTTTAGTTGTACTGTCTTTTCACTTCAAGCCTAACCATCTCTTGTTTCACTATCTCCTTTAAGATATACAGTTGTTAAATGAAAGTTAGGAAATAGACTATGTCTATATATATACGGTCTTAAATCCCAGTATTTTGATGGAAGCTAAAATAAATTCCTGATTCTACTTCAAAGATTTGCCCTTTAAATATCAAAGGAATTTACGTGACCTTCTAGTTCATAACCACCTCCCAACCAACCCCTCCCATTTTGGAACTAAGCCATGTGGTCATAACTGCTGTAATGCCTGCCCTTTCACTATTCAAACTCAATAAATTGACTTCCTTAAAGGTTCTCCTCGAATAAGAGATGGGGTCTCTTGTATCAGCCTTAATGTTGTTGTTTACAAAAAAGTATGTCAATGATGCCTAAAAATGCTATGTGGGACATACTGGGTGAATACTGGCTGATAGATTCAGTGAACTCCTACATAACATTGGCAGGATAAGCAATGTCCATTCTCTTTTCACTTAAACAGAAGTGACCACAAAGCCTGGACAATGTATCCATTACAGCTATTGTTTCCTCTATCAATACACAAGCAAAGGTGAGTTTGGAAAAAAAATCTGATACACACCTATGGGACCCTGACACCTGTCTTGTTCTCTTTTACTTGCTAACTCACTCTCTCTCTGCCTCCTTACATTATCACTAATCACCACGAAGTTCCTTTCCCTTCTTCCTTATGACCTACATATTTGCTTATTAGTGGTTTTGTGGAATCACCTGATGTTCAGGATTCTATGCAGTTAACTATTCATGAGAATTATAGTCTTTTTCCAATCTTTTTTTACGAACCGCCACCTTTCTGAACTATAACATTTTGATCATTGCCCCTCTTTTTGTTTGCCTAGATTTCCAAATATCTGTAGGTAAAGCAAAAGCCCAGATGTTCTTTCCGTGATATCTGCCTCATATCCATCATTCTTGCTAACCTTACCTATGCAGTCCTCGCTGATTTCCTTATCTCATTATTTTTTAATGTATTTATTTCTTTCTTAACTTTAAGTTTCCTGTTAATCACATATGTAAATTCTTTAATTTCATGGAACACTTCTTTAATTGAATAGGACTACCATTTCCTGTCTCCTAAATATCTATACAAGCTAAGTTTCTCTGTATTTTGGATGTTTACTTTCCATTATCCTTCTTCAGGTTTTTATTTACCCTGTGTATATTCCTAAATATCATAACAGGATTTACATGCACTTGTATAATATGAACAAATTATTTTACAGCTAGTGCTATGCAGATAAACAATTTGTCATTGACAATTTAAGAGAATTTAAGAGTTGTACATTTGCAAGCAGTTGTGTATAAACAAAATTGTAACTTTATAATTTCATCTAGCAATGTTATACACTTTAAATGAATAGATTTATTTCAGCAAATTTTATACAGGTAATAGATTATAATATCATACATTACGTAAGGACTTTTACATTAAAGAAAAATACTCACCAGTTTCCCGATGATTTTGACAAAAGGTCCCAAGTAATTGTTGACTGAGTAAAATTCTAAGACACGAATATTCCAGAAAATAATATCCACACAATAAATTAACTGTGCATCCCTCAGGGTTGATGGTATAAATCTCAAAACAAATCCAATAGCAAACAAAGCAATCCCCATGGTGTCCACAATGTTCCATACTTTGGAGATAAACACATTAAGCTTCATGCGAACATTCACTGGTTCTGATGCAATGATCTGAAATATAATTTATAATATTGATAAGCTTAAAGGCATTAGATAATGCAATATTCAAGATCTAAATACTATGAAGTAAAATGTCAAAATAAATAAAACATTTCATCCAACAACTGTAGCTGAAATGGTAGAATTATCCATCTCATCCTTGTGGCGCTACAGCCCATGTAGAGCTTTGGCTTGCCTTAACTGGTGGGGCTGGGATAATAAATTAAAATTACATGAGTTATTTGCTGCTCTCTTGTATGATCAATTTAAGCTAACTTATGTAAGGACTTACCTGTCTGATTTTCTCTAGGGCCATTGTAAATATAACAGCAATAATGTAGATTTCTCCCCAATTCGGAATAGCTTTTGGACGGTCCAGTATCACATATAGGAACACACTTAAGAAGGACAGATAGCCAAGCTGCAAAGGAGATTTTAGCATGTACTATTTAAAATAGATTAATAATCACAGGTGGACTGTAAATTTTGTTTTTAAAAAATAACTAAGAAAACTAAAATGTGCAATTGTTATTGGAAGATACTATTATTTATGTAATTAATCAGCTCATTGAGTATTTTAAATCAACTATATTAGTGTTACAGCAAAATACACTTCAAAAATAAAAAACATATAGATGAAGTAGAAACTGCCCCATCAATCTTAACATCAACATGAGTATGTTGAAGTGATTTAATACATCGGTATGAGCCAAGAAACACAACAATATGTTAATATGCAGTGGAGCCTCGGATAAAAAATGCCTCCTCAACAAACAATTTTGTTAACAAACAAGGTTGGTGAAAAAAAATTCCTCGGTCAACAAAAGATAATTTGGGTTAAGAACATAGGCATACTGCAGCACATACAATCCCACCAGTGCTTTGATGTGCTTGCAGTAAACATTGTTCGTCCCACTGTTATGTTAAATAACACTACTTTTGTTACATTTGCACTTTTGTTTTACTTTAGCCCTCATTATGGTGCCCAAAGAGAAGAGCTTTATTATTAGGAATCATGTAGTGCAGAAGTCAAGAAATTAATTATATTATAACATGATAATGACCTTCGTATTTTTGACATTGCCAAAAGTAATAGCAAATGTTGAAATTGAATTATTTGCACTATTCCAAAAAACAAAGAGGCAATAAAGGCGACTGATGTGGTTAAAGGAGTGACTGTGTTAAAGAAGCAAAGGTATAAATTGCTAGAGTAAGTAGAAAAAATGTTGTTAGTTTGGATAAATTAAAACTTGTTGGCTGTAGTCTGTAGATAGTGTTAGAAAGACAATACTTTCTGAAAAGGCTTGGCATTGCACAGTGAAATTTGTTGGCCAAAACAAGTACTGAAGCTGAAGACTCTTACCATTTTGGCTAACAATGTACAATTTTGAGGTGTATACAACATATATACTGTATGTTTATTTTTACTCTAAATATAAGGTATTGAACGATTTTGTGATGATATTGTACGATTTTAAGAGTTTGAGGGTTAACTGGTCTGCTAAGGTGAGAAGAGAGTAGTGGGACCAATTTTGTAGAAGAAGTGGAATATATATTGTTGTGAAACATGGGATTAAATCATTATTTTTTTTATTATAAAATAGCAAAAATTTATAAAAGACCACATTTCTAAGGTTAGAACCACAAATTCTTTGAATTTTACATAGATTTCAATGTGAAAAATCATACAGTTAGCTAACATTTCAGTTTAAGAACAAAGTTAAAGAACGGATTTGTTAACTGAGGTTCCACTGTATAGGGCAATGTGGCTGTCACCTATAAAGATTTAATATAACATGCAATTACCAGGACTGCAGAGTATGCCATTTAAGTTTCATTTTCTGACATTTGAATCTCAGTGGAGATATACTCTGAAACCCTGGTATTTACAATTAGTTTTCTAAAACTACTTACAAAATGAATCCAGAACTTTGTTATTGGAGCATTGTAAAACTCATAAGCCTTTTTACCCATCCTCAAAGGGCTTTTCTTTTTTTTACCAAATGGCATATGAGAGAACCAATTGTCAAGTGTTTTACTCCCATCTGGGTTTTCAGCATGGCCATTTTCTTTAGTTGGACTCTTTGGCACGACAGTGGATGTTGGTTCTGTCATATCTTCATTAAAACTCACATCCTGAAATTCAAATTATTTTATCTTATCACAAATGTATCACAATCACATGAGATATAAAACAGTAGTTCAATAATATACCAGGTTTTTATAAATGAACTGGTAAAAAAATTCAACCCTCTTATTTGTTAGGAAAAGTAGAGTTAAAGATATCTATGAGGCAGTAGCTAATAATTTAATTTGTGAGTTTGAACATTTTTTAAAAAGTTGTTTGAAAACACTCTCACACCAGAGACACTGACCTGATCCTCACTGATGGAACATAGTGAGATATCAGCAACACTTGAGTCATCTTCTAGTTCATCAAGATGTTCTTCCATTGTTTGGGGCATAAGCTGCAGTTCCTCTTTTGACTTGAAGTCCAAGGCAAACAGATATGGTGGGAAAAGGATTCCCATTAGCACCTAGTGATAGAAATTTTGTTATTCCCAATTAGGTGCTCTGGTATTTAATAAGTGGTATTATATAGCGCGGTACCCCGGCCTAGGGCTGGGCTCACCGCGCTGTACATATATAGCAAAGAGGCATAGTCATAATATTAAAATAAAATACATAAATGAAATAAAAACAACATATAAGCAAAACAACACCATAGGTATATTCATCCACCCACACCAGACATTTTTACAAGGAAACCCATGTACGTTTATCGGTTTATAGGAGGAGAATCAGTCAGGGTAGTATAGTTTAAATAGATGTGTTTTGAGTGCAGTTTTGAAGGCCTGTGTGGTTGTTATATTGCGGATGTGTAGTGGCAAAGAATTCCATTGTTTGGGGGCGCAGAAAGAGAAAGATCGTTCACCATATAATTTAGTGCGTGTCTTGGGAACGGACAGAATACGCGAGTCTGCGGAGGAGCGAAGTTGTCGAAGGGGTGAATAGACAGAAAGAAGTTCAGTTAGATAGGAAGGGCAGGAATCCGAGAAAAAGTTGTGACAGAGAAGAGACAGCTTGTAGTCAATGCGTGCCTGTATAGGGAGCCAATGTAGTGAGTGGAGTAGTGGAGTGACGTGATCATGTTTTTTTGCCTTAAGAACAAGCCTAGCAGCAGAGTTTTGAACTTTCTGCAGTTTTTCTATAAAATGTTTCGGTGAACCTGACAGAAGTGAGTTGCAATAGTCAAGACGAGAGAGAACAAGAGCACAGACTAGAGTTTTTGTTGCGCTAACTGTCAGGTAGTGGCGGATGGAGCTGATCTGACGGATGGCGGTGTATGCCGAACGACAAATGTGAGAGATATGTTTATCGAGAGACATGTTGTTAGAAAGAATATAACCAAGATTCCTAGCAGAGGGTGTAAACTGTATGTCGGAGTTACCTACTTGAAATGAGGTGGGAAGAGTTGAGGTAGAGGATGATTTGTGATTGTAAATGAGGAGTGCTTCTGTTTTGTCATCATTATATTTCCTTTGACTATTAAAATTACATGAGACCAAATGTTAAAATCAACCTACTGACATATTTTTCTTAAATGACCTTAATAAATGTAAAATATTTAAATGTCAAAAGATAATGAAGGCTAAATACTTTTATGGTTGAGTTTTTCCTCATGCGTAAGCCACCAATCCAGAGGTCATTGAGTAGCATCTGGCAACAGGTGTGAGCAATAAACTGCCTGTGGTTGGCCAACACTGCAAGACCCAGACAGGTCTGCTCACTGAAGTTCTTGAGTTCATAGGTGAGAAGTTGTTGTGTGTAGTCATCATCTATTTTATAGCAGTGGCCAAGAAGTTCTAGTGCCAGACTCAGGAATTCCCTATTTATTCATTATATTGGTTTAAAAAAATTATTATAAATTATAAAACATAGATTTACAACAAAAGTTATCAGTTTTAGGTGTAACATTTTAAATTTTAATCTCAAGGTTCTTAAGTACCTGGTAATATTTTTAAAAGCTTTTTTCTCAGTTTAAGTGTTTTATTTTATGCTACAAATATTCAGTATTTTTTCCAATGTTACATACTCTGCATAATGGTGAAACTCTTCTGTCAGTTCAATTTCTAAATCATCTTGCTCAGCTTCGTGCGCCATTGCAGAATAGAGTTTGCCTGCTATCAAAGCCTGCACAGAAAAGGGATAAGCACTACATGATCCTTTTTTTCAATATAATGCTGATTGCTATTAATAATACTTTTGAAATAATAACTGTCCAAATTTTTCTTTATAAGTGCTGAATAAAGAAAATATTTCAAGACAGTAAATATTTCAATATTTTGAATGGAACCAGAAGTGAATATTTAAAGGAAATTCAACATATTTTCATCTTTTAGATTATTATTCAGAAACTTAAGATGCAAATAAAAAGTACCTTTGCCAAAGCTTCCTCTCCATGTTGCCACATAAAAAGTGCCATCTTCTGTCTCTTCATAAGGACTGCCCATATCATGAGGTCATGAAAGGGATATGGGAATAGATCTTCTGCTTGTTTGGTGTCCATGAGTTGAGGGATTGAGTTAACCAAGGCAGCTAAAGACGCATTCTGTCATTAAGGAAAAACACAAGAGATCCAAAACTCAACAATAAAGTTAGTGAAGACAATGGTGTAAAGCTATACTTATGTATTATTTTATATGGGTAGAAACAGCAATAACAAAAATTAGTACTTTTTATATAATAACTGTATAACTTTGAAATAACTCAGAAATTTTCTTCACAACCTCACTCTGTTATAGGCATAAGTTGAATTCTTCACCCACAGCTCAACAACAAACCACATAATTACAAGCAACATGTCATAAATACTTTTTAGGAAAAATAATCAATTGTAAAGAATAACACTTTAAAAAAAAATGAAAGAAAGAATGAACATGAAACATTTTTAAAAGCTATTATTAAAAAAACCATCGTTAAATGCATTACCGTATGTTTGAAAGCATGATATCTTTGCCTAAATTTCTTTCTGCAGTAGGCAGACCTGAATCCACCTCCTATTAACAGCTCAAGCACTAGTCCAATATCTGGAAGTGTGTACCGGTAGTTGGAAGGAACATGCTGACAATGGAAAGTGTATGAAATATATTAGTAATTGTTAACAAACTAAAAGTGATGTGAAGCCCAATCTCAGTTTTACTAATAAATAAACAACAATTTTTACTACTTTGACTTAGTAGATTTTTGTTTAAAATCATTAAACATGTATAAAAGATAATTTTATCAATGAGACTTGATCACCCATAAAATGAGGTAAGTTTACTATGAAAAAGTTAAAAGCAACACTTATGTTTGCTGGCAGCAAAGGTCATCTTCTCTGAATGATATTTATACTTTATTTTATTTTATTGTTTTTAGTTAAGTTTAGAACCATGAAGCGCATTTTTTAATTGAAACTTGTATTTTTCATTATTTTTATTACAGATTTAGTTAATATAATGATGTTGTTAGAACTGACCTTTTTGACATCTCGCACAAGATACCTTAGGGAATTGGATGGACTTTGTCTCTGCATAGAAAGAGGGGAATTGAGACAATTAAAAGAAACTATATTACCAATACCATTTTTAAATTAAGGTAAGATTCCAGTTTATACATTGTTGAACATAAAATGTTTACATTTAACTATATTTTTAAATTGTGCAGTCTTTATAAAACTGTTTTTTCTAATGTACTCACAGAGTTGTAGAGGTCTTCCATCCGAGGTATAGTGAGAAAAGTGTGCATACTGACTCCATTCTCTAGTAGCAGCTTGACAAAATCAACTCTGTCATTGATGAGAGCATCCATCATAGCTACTTCCAAGGCACCTTCCTATTGTGTAAAAAATTATTAAATTCTTTTTTTTTTAAATTTGTAATTTAATATTTTTATGTTTTAATTATATTTTAGGAAGATGTACGTTTTTCAATAGTCCAGCCTAATATCAAAATCTGTTTCAGACAGATATTTCTATCTTTTTTTTTTAAAGATAAAAAAAGACTGCTTCAAATTGAAATAAGACTAACGCCCTGGTAAATGTAATAATCTGGATTGTTTAAAAAACATAACAACCAATTATTTGTAATGACTTACTGGCCATTCTTGTCCATAAATGAAAATGTGGCTTCGGGCAATATCTACCCTGTCCCAGGTCAGGGCCAGATTCAGTTGATCTACAGGATTAGCAGTTGTTCCTGTAATGTTATAAAAAGAGAATTCCTCCTATTATTTTTAGTCTTTTGTTGTAACGAAATGCTTTAAACCAGTTCTAAATTAAATGTTAATGCAAACCTTTCAGTAGGGCTGTGAGTATGGCAAGATCTATGTCTTTAGAATCCTCTCTGTCCCCCATTCTGAACACTGTAATCTGTGGTAAATATAAAAATTTGAGATATTTTGGTGCTTTTAGGTCACACACTAAGACCAGTGAAAGAATAGTCCAATGGAAGACTAGACATTGATACATAGAACTTTATGGTTAAACATTTGCTTCTGTTTTAAAAATACAAGGTTTCATTACCAATTCTTTCTTCTTGACACACAACATGAGCTCAATGAAGAGTTTCTCTGCCTGTTCTTGTGTGTACATGAATGTTCTCTGTATGGTAAGTATCAGCTGGTCTCTCAAGGGTTCAGCCATTGTACTATAGATAAAGTTTAAAATATTAAAACGATCTAGTGAGTCAAAGTCATACAAAAATTACTATTCTTATAGTTTTGAAATGTACAATCTTTAAATTTTAAAAAATGTTTTAAGCAGCCATCTGTTTGTATCAAAGCCAAATACCATTCACTAACCATGAGATCTAAGTAAAAGTTGAAATTTTGCATGGTGATTTCTCTTATATGCTAGGCCTGCACTGACAAGATTTTTGTTTTAATTTAGCTTTAAGTAGCTTAAAATGACCAAAGTCCAACACATATATAAAAGCTAAGGTTTTTTTCATGTGCATGATTTGGTTTGTGTTTTGATGTCACTTTTAAGCATTTTGCACTGCATTTGTACACGCAATATTTTATTTTTGCAAATGATGTGCATCCAACATGAATATATTAAAGTTCTTAAATCATGTACTTCAGGTTAAACATCACCATAAGATGTGGATACTTTAATCTTTAAATAATGTTTGATCCTTTAAATTAAATTTGACAAGATAATGGTTCTTTGCTAATCATATTATTTAAAAATTATTTTGTTGTTTTCTTTTTTATTATAGGTGTTGATGCTAAATCAACTACTAATAAAGTATAACAAATATTAATTAATTCAAATTATAGTGAAGCCAGTTTAAGAGGGAATAAAATGATACTATTTAGGTGGGTAAAGATGAATGAATTGGTGACAACATAACTAATGGCTGATATTGGCATGGTCCCTAGAAAAATCAAGGGTTCTAAAAAAATACCCCAGGGATCGAGGTGGGGGGTGGTTTGTGTTGTAGTAACAGTGAAAATATAGCAATGAATTAGTTCAGTACTCGTAGATATTCCAGAAAATTGAAACTTAGAACTGCAACACTCAAATGCCTAACAATGTTTTTTTTAATATTTAAAAGGACAGGGGGTGGGGGACAGCTTTAGGATTTCTTTTGAATGATTCTTGGTGCAAATCATTAGATTTGACAGTGATTTATTATCACTGAATGGTGCGCAGTAACTTATCTGTTGCTTGTAAGAAAAGACAAAAAATGTGTGATTTCTGTGGCTTCTTCATGTAAAGCAGCAACTTTGTGGGACAGTGGAAAGACCGTTCACTATTCCTTCAAATTTTCCTCTCCACTTAAATTACACTGAGACTCATTTGTACAACATTTTGAAACTGTGATATAACTCGGATACTTTGGGAATGCAAGTTGATTGTTTGGGATGAGGACCCCATGGTTCACAATGGGGATCTAACAGAAATATTCAGGAAATCTGGAGTAGTAAATGCCTTATTGGTGAGATGAATATGCTGCTTGTCGGAGACTTCAGGAGACCTTGGACAGACACTTCCCATCTTTCTTAGTGGAACGCATGCTGATGAAGTCTGAGCCTGTATTAAGTCATCCCACCTATGGCCTAAAGTCCAAATCTGATCCTTGCAAGTTAATATGAGGGTCCATCTCAAAATTATTTAAAGGCAGAGGAGTTCTCAAACTTCCTTCTCCAAATAGTATATGGGAATTTACATGAAAATGGCAAGATATACATTCCTGGTAATCTCTCTGAAATCTAACCAAGTCAGTTACCTGGTTACAAATATCTTAATGCAAGACCTGGTGCTGGATACTAAGGGCTTCAGCCAAATAATCTGATGGTTGTTTGACCTACAACTCATGACTATCAATATCAATTATAAAACATTACAATTTTTACTTCTCAGCCCATCATATTAACTCATTTGCTGCATTTTAGATTTCAAAAATAAAAGCCTTTATGTTATAAAATACTTAAACTTTTCATATAGTTTCATTATATTGTCATACTCTCAAAAATGTTGCAAAGCAAAGTTGTTGGGCTAGTTAAAACATATGTTCATTAGCTCCTATGTTAACATGGTAATATTTTTTAAAAGTAATTGATATTGATAGTAAATTCTGTCCATTGTCCAAAAATTACAAAATAAATCAAGGATGTAAGCACGCCACTAACCCATCATCATTAGTATATTTATGTGTGAATGCCAGGAGATCTGCAGCTCTTCCACTGCCATCACATACAACAACAGGTACTGGTGGTGTGTCTGTCACATACTCCAACACTGAACGGATTGTGTTAGCCCCACCTTCAAGTACAACACAGATCACAGGAACACTATGACCTCTAAAGCCATTCCCTAAATTAAGCAAAAAACTTTCAATTAGGAAAAAAACTGCACAAAATTACAAATTTTTTTTAATGAGAAATAACTCAAAATCCCTTATCATTTGTGATTAATTTATGCTAAAGTTCATCTTAATTGAAAGCTTCTACATTTTATATGCATTGAAGAAATATGAACATAAAGAACAGATAAGAGGTTTCAATATTATTATTTTCTAAGTTATTTCATTGAATAGAAACAGAATGTTCCAGTCTGCTTGTAGCACATCTCTAAACAGGAATGAATGCATCAAATATACCTATTCGAATTTTCTGCTGGGCGATGTATTTCTCAAATTTTTTCCTGAACAAGATTTCACCACCATATTTTCCCACAGTGCCATTGTCAACGAGTACAAAGTATGAATGATTGCTGTTAAGAACTGAAGTATTGCTTTTGGTTGATAACACACAATGGTAGGGGACTACAATCTGAAACAACAAAATATAGCTCCAAATATTGTGCATTGTCACAGCATAATTAAGAAACATTTGACACTAACCAGAACAACAGCTATAAATACATTTTGGATGATCAATGAAATCATGATATTTCTTTTTTAATTATAGAATCTTAACAAAATGGATATTTTGTAAAAAAAATATATTTGAACCAGTGATACTTTTTTTATTTAATCAAGTAGAAATTACATAGAAAAATTACACTCAACATATGGCAATGTAGTGTAGTGAATTAACTACTTAACTCTGTCTAAAGCCATAATTAACAAAGAACAGTACATTAGATACATTTTCTTAATGTGACTGATATATGTAGAAAAGTTTGCAAAACATACATATAGTTAATTTGACTTCCATATTAAAATCATCTTAATTATGTGCTAACCAAAACTTACATCGGATCCCATCAAACTCTCCTTGTTTTCAACAATCCCCCATGGTGTGATACCAATAGCAACAACTTTATTTCTTGTTTTGGTTGTTCTGTCACTGATTGCATCTCCAACATGTTTAGTAACACCTACAAATTAAAAAAAAACAATCATACTCAATGAATTTTCCCTCAGGAAATTTGAAAAATGTATCTTTGCTGTATTTTAAATGTATTGCTGCTTTTAAATTATTGAATTGTACGAAACTTAAAAAAGAAAGCATAATTATGTATTATGATCAACTTAAAATGAATGTTCAAGTATGTATATAATTGAGGTGCTAACCCTAAAAGCATACCAGTATTTGTTCCATTGGTAACTATCCAGGCTCCTGTAGTCCTTGCTGCCTTTAGTAATCCTTTTCTAAAGACCCTCTTGAGCTTTGGTTGGAGGTCAAAGTTCAAGATCCCTCCGTGGACAGTGATCAACAATTTGGGTAGATCTAATCCCCAATGCTAATTTAAATGGACATATTTTTATGTTTTGATTGAAAATAAAACATTTAAATCAGAGATACCTTTAGAAGGTTTATTGATAGGCTTCAATGGAAATAGAATTTGAAAGAACATGAGACTATTTTTATCATCATAGAACTAAATTTTAATATTCATGTCTTCATGTACTTCACATCACAGGCTTCACCAGACTTCAAATATAAATGCATGATGAAATGCTATCATTTTTTAATTTCCTTTATTTTAATTTTAATGTAAATAAAACCCAAATCTGCCATAAGAACAAGTAAAAAAAAATAATAGTTCTAAATAAAAAAAAAAAAATTGTTAAGCTTACAAAAATATTAAATTCTAAACCTTTACAATGATAATGTTTCATATAAACATTTAGCCAGTAACTTAATCGGTGCTGGTTCTTATGTGTTTTTCATATTAAAAACTTTATTTACTTTTAACAGAAGAGTCAACACATTTTCCTGTCGTGTGTCCAGGCTACTAAGCCGTATATACTGAGCTTTGCTTGGATGAGGACCTCCTTGAAATTCAATTGTCCCGTAAGCATCAGTATTTCTTTGCTCTGTGTGTCTAAATGGATGCCATTTTTCTGAGATGCCAGGATCCACCCTAGCAGCCCCATTAACAATGTGCCAGTGTTCATTGCGTCCACAAGCACACCTATTAATATATTTAGCATTTATTATTAGCAAGGTAAACTCTATTCTCAGTGTTGGCATTCAAGTACTAACTTTAAAGCAATTAATTATTTATTGCTCACAGTCACAGTTCTTTGCCCAGATGTTCAAAATATTTAACTATCAAATAATAATAATAATAAGTTTTAAATTTGTGTTTCTGATTCTTTTAGTGAAATGTTTTGTATTTTTAAATTAAGATTGTAATACTTTACCTGGTAGGGTCACGGACAGATGGAATAAATTTAACACATTCACGTTTCTGGAAAGTTTTTTCAACCCAAGTTCTCTGACTCTAGAAATAGAAAATTTTAAAAATATATCAGACAGTTAAGAAAATTTTAAACAGGCAGATAGTAAAATGTAACATTGAAAAATTTTAGGCTTTAACTGGCCATATGTATCATAAAAAGATGAAGCATTTGTTGAAAAAGTGATATTTTAAAAAAATTAATAAAATAAATTTTAAAAACTACTGATTTCATATATCAAGAGGCTTATCCCATAAATGATGTCAAGCAACAAGTACACCAATCCAGTTAATTTTAGATTTTATTTAAAATATTTTGGAAGTAATGGCATAAGGAAAACAATTAGGCTGCAAATATTTAGATTTTAAATTTGAGCTTATAAGTAAATGGCAACATCGAAAATAAAGTATATCACCCCTTGCAAGACCTCTAAGAGCTAAAGGTGAATTGCACAATTATAACAAAGCAAATAATTGGTTAAGGATTATAAGAAAACATATACCTTAAAAAAGCTTTTAAAAATGACATCATATTAACGTGAATTTTAACAAGCATTATTTTGCCCATGGTTCTTGTGTGAGAACAAAAAAAATTACTCAAATTAAACCTGATCCACAAAATTAATTAAATAACAAATATAATATCATGCAGTGAGCAAACAAAATAACCAAAGAATTTGTATACATGAAAGAACACCTTGTTAAATGCAGCATGCTAATTGTTATAGAAAAAAAAGCTTAACAGAAATTAAAAGCAGTTGTTCATTCTTTCATTGGAAATATAGCATTTTTATCTCAAGATAATGCAAGTCTTCAGAAAAAAAAAGTTAACAAGACAACAAAACCTTTATTTTTACAAAGAATCATCTCAGCCCAAAAAGACTAATAATTCCTTTTATGTTTAGCCTTGGCTGATAGCTGGTTTCTTGAGTGGAGTTTTGGAAATCAACACTCAATTTAAATCTCCTGTTGGTCATGGATTTCAAGAAACCACACATTGACAAGCATTCTAACAGAGCTACCAATTAGTTGAAAGTAACAGAAGAAAAAGATACACCTAGATTGGTCTGTTAGTAACATCAGCCCCTAAATAGCTCTCTGCTTACCTCCCCAATGGACCTATGACGAAATATCGACTTTGGCAAGTGGGTGAAATCTTCCAACCAAGAACTACTTCTAGAGCGCAGATCTTCCTCATGAAAATTCAACTTTGACATTCCCAATTCTTTTTGGTCATAAAATCCCAAAGAATATGTGCTGCCATTATCCGTACACACCCTTATTTAAGAGCTACCACTCAATATCAGAATAAGCATGACTTAAATCACTTGAAGTACATCACAGTAATTATAAAGGGAAATAATCATTTCAAAATTAGCAATGGCTATAGAAATAAGTAATCAGATGAAATAAAGTTGAATTGTTTACGTACACGATAAGGCTATAATCTAACGGCCACTTGCTTGTAGCACACGTAACATGTGTGCAAAAAAACTGCCTGATGGCCTACCTATGCAACAATAAAGTTTAGACGATCACTGAGTAGTAAGTAGAAAGTTATCCGTTTGCCGTAATAAACGCACAAATACAATGACGTCTTAGCAATTCGCTCTGTTTGTTCTATTGCGGTGGTCTATTACGTCAAAATCCAATCTAAGTTGTCAGAAAAATGTCCGTCTTTATTTGTATGCCTGAAGTAGTTTCACTTAAGGTTATACTTGACACATTGCTAACCTTGCCCTACCTATTACGTCAGGCACGTCCCTTGGTGTCCTCGTTCGTAGCGTAAACGACGTAAACATATGATATAATTTATGCAATAGCTGAGACACAACACTTTGTTCAACTGTGCAGTCTACAAATGTTCGGTCAAAGGTGTCTTTGTTGTAATTTATAGCGCGCTGTGTTCCTGTTTATTCAAAGATCAAAGTAACGATACGCCAATAGAACTATTCACTTGTGACTTGTGGAAAGGGCGCACAGAGGAGACAAAACTACACAGCGCACAGGCATTGAACCAGAACAGAAGTTTCATTCATATGGATCAGAAACTGGGACCAGTGTGAACAAAAACAACAGTTTCATTCATAGAGATCAGAAACTGGGACCAAGAAAATAGAGGTTGCAGCACCTTGACTAAATGACGAACTCCCAAAATAGACCCGCCACACACACACACACACCAATTATATAATCTTGGTAACAATGTTAAAACAAAAATTTAATTAAAAGTGTCACTCAGAGCGTTGTCCCCCCATATCCCGATACAATTTATTTTGACAAATGATTTTATGGCTCTGCGACCAGACATTACAAAATCTAATTGCTTTACAACTCTTTCTTTAACATTTCACACAGGCCGTACACTGTACACTGTCGTATTTAATCCTCTGGTATAATTACTATACTTATTATCTTTATATAAGCTTACACGGGATGATGTAATAACAAACATAAAACGTGTGTGAAAACTGCTCCTGAGTAGACCCTTCATATTTGATTACATTACTATTGAAATGTTAGAGGGTTACAATTAGTTACAATATATAAGAATGATTTAAAATAAACCAAGGCAAACTGCAATGTTATCAAATAAAGCTGACACCAGAGTGGCTATTAAAACGTTCTCTATTATCAATAATACAGTCATTTTAATAATGTACATCTATGTTTGTATGTATGAAGCCATACAACAAAAAGAAAGAATGTAGCAGTGTGAAAGGTTAAATAATGCATTTTGCAGTGTAGACAACAAACGTGGTGAGCCGTTACCAATGCATTCGCTGTTTTAAATGTACTTATATCAATATAAATAAGCATTAAATAAGCTCATCAATGTAGACCAGAGCTCCGCAACCGATGTGCCACGAAATGTGCCCGGTGTGCCGCGGAATGGTGCCAGGTGTGCCGCGCCTCCAAAAGGAGATAATATCAAGTTAGGTCAGTGTGATTAAGCTGTCTTGATATTAAAGAGACATTGGATAGCCTGTTAAACATTGTTATAACAGAAATGTGTCCAATAAAGACATTTAAAACACACATTTACAGTGTAATCTTCTACATTTCAACATTAACCGCCATTGTGAATGTTAACTAAAAATGAATTATGTTATTTGGTATAATTTTACATGCTTTTACTTGTCGCGTGCCGCGGAATTCTTGTACGGCCTAAGGTGTGTGGCGCGAGAAAAAAGGTTGCTGAGCTCTGCTGTGAACAGTAGAAGTAATTACCGCAATTGTGTAAATTTGTGAAGGTAATTGGAGATTGCCCTCAGAATAACTGGGGAAATTGGGGTGCATGTCTGCTGTGCTATTTGCCCATCCATTGAGGTGGGGCTCACTTCTGTTGTTACGTCGGCGCCAGTCTAGTCGCGAAATGGGCCGTTTTATGGGGTCTCTGGCTGGAGGTGATGATGCCCCTTGGTGAGTTTTGAGTCTTTGGTGACATTGTCGGCTATTGTATGCCGTAGTCACGTCCAGCTAATTGCCCATGGCAGGAAGAAAGAAATAAGAACTAAGAATTGTTGACGAAATGTTTGTTGTATAAATTGCAGATAAGATTTCCACTCATTCATCTCCAGTGGTTGACAGCAGGCTATGTTATGTTCAGCAAAGTCAATTCACTAAACTATATTTAAGCACTGGGTCGTTTACAATGATGCAAAGAGTTACTAAAAAAAACCGAACTACACATGTTTCACGACTGACGGTGTAATGAGTACGTCACGACAGGGGGGCGTTGTTTGCTAAGGATACAGACGGGTGGACGACGCCCAAGATGTCAATTTAGACCTGGTATTTTGACACGCGGGGTAGGAAAACGTTGACGGCTCGAACCAAAAATCTTCGACTCAACCCCCGCGTGCTTGGTGTAGCCCAATATCATTTTCTTTATGATGTATTTCTCCTTCTTTTACAACTGTAGACGTAGATATGAGAAGATATTAACTTTTCTAACCCTACCCTCAACCGTATACACTAAAGCCTAGGCACGCTGTTTGCCAGACTTAAAACCTGTTACGTTGCAATTTGTCATTAGTTCTCAGCTGAGCTAAGCAGGGTCATTAATAAACATGATTTGACCTGGAATTGTCTATGCAACGGGCCTGGGAGTACATTGGGACATTGTTTCATTCATATACAAAATGATAAGAAACAGTAAATATAATTTGTATCAGATTACATAACAGCATACCGTGGCATACGTCAACAGTTTAACATAAGTTGTTTTCTTTAAATAGATGCATTGAATAATGTTATGTGCACAACACTTATCCTTTGTTTAAAGTGCACACACGGATTACAGAAACATCTCATTTATACTGAACTAAGAATGACCTCTACTTTTACAAATATTGAATGACCACATCACTTTCTTCAAATGTGTACATGATTGATTTGATTGGAAGTTAGGCAAGGATATGCGTCTTTAAATATATGTACAGAATCAATTTTTTAATAAAAGAAATAGACCGTGACATCTTCAACGGGTAAGCTTGGTGTCCTACGCTGACAAGATGAAGGTTTGACATCCCCGTTGTAATGCTGTTGAAGCTTGAATGACTCTACTTCAGCCGAATCGATGGTGCGCTTAAAATGAATAATCCTATGGGATCTTATCTAGCTACATGAAATAATCATGTACTTTAAAAGCAGACGATATTTTTTCATAAGGCTATGCATTACATTACCATAGCAAAGACAGCAATCGTTTATTTATAAATGGTTGCTTGACGACTTTTTGATGCTCCACACAGCGAATTTTTTTTTTTTTTAATTTTATAACTTTTATATTTATTGTAAAAGCACTAATTTATTTACGATACTTATTCAAAATTTTAAGGGTTTTTTATATGTCAGTGTAATATTCTAGTGTAATTTATTTAACATTCTGATTGAAACTTTTAAGGGTTTATATTTAGTGTAATAGTGAATTTAATAGACCTATACAAACGTTTAACGGTTCTCAACAAAATAAAAACGACCAAGACACCATCTCAGTTCGACCAACAAAATCAGTGATGGCAGCTGTAACAACGGTATTGTAAACACACATACGAGCAAGGGGTTTCATCTAATAGTCTGGTTCCCAGGGTTAACAAATGACAGCACATCCTGTTCGACATGTAAACAGTTCATTCTACTTGATTAGTGGTGCATGCAATAGGGCCACGTGAGGTGACATCTAAAGGGCGGTAAACTTAAAACCAAAATTTGGCATTAGCCTTTCCTTGACACTTTCAAGTGCAGGTTTAAAAAAACAAAACAAAACAAAAAAAACAACAACACACAAGCATATGACATGTGCTTGAATAGATAATCTGAATTTAAAAACAAATTTTTAATTTAGCTGGACAAAGGACTCTGCTTACGCAATTTCCTGTTTTGGTAAAATTCAAAAACTTAACTGCCCATAAATGTATTGTATATTGCTATAAGAAATAAAGTTTTATCAACCTCCTCTTTACTTAACAATTATTTGTAAATGGAAATAAAAGGCATGCCCATCATTAAGGTGGAAAAAAAACAACTGACCACTAGATAAGCTCGGTAACATCACCTGTGAGGAAACACTCATGAAAACTCCACAGGAGATGGTGCTGTTTTACTGCCTTCAAATTTGATTTTTCTCAACCTACTTTTTGTGCACATCAAAGTTATTGATATTTCTGTACTTTTTCACCCGAATAAGGCTTTGAAATGTGTTTTAATGAGTTTCAATTCCGACCACAAAAAAAAAAAATGTAAAAAAAATAATAATAATAAAAAAATCCAGTTACTGCCTCTTGAAATGCATATCTCCACGGGTTTCTTGTCTCGCTCACATGAGTGTTTAAGGTGGGAAAATACTTTTCTATCAACAAGCAGTGATTTTACTATTTTAAACGTTCCTCGAATTCTTCAAAACTATATATATATATATATATCGCATTATATTTGTTGTGTAAATCCTAATTTCACTTCAAGAAAAATATGAAGCAAATAAAAACAGTATGCTGTTAAATATACAATTTTCCTAAACATTTTCTAGTATGCTTAGGAAATCCCTTAGATCTCTAGCTTCTGTACAAGCGTAATACTGGGAAGTGACCTTGAAAACTATGTAACAAAAAAATCCAGCCAGACCATTGTCAAAATGGGACAATAAAGTCATGGCTGCCTCTAACTAAACTTTTGACTCTTAAACAGTGGCGTAGCTAGGGTTGGTGCAACACGGGTGAGCCAAGGCTCTCTCCCCCCCCCCCCACACACACTGACATTTTTTTTGGGGGGTCCACAAACCAAACTCGCAAATGTCCGAAAATGCCACCCCCCAAATATTTTTTAAACTTTTGACTCTTAAACAGTGGCGTAGCTAGGGTTGGTGCAACACGGGTGAGCCAAGGCTCTCCCCCCCCCCCCCACACACACTGACATTTTTTTTGGGGGGTCCACAAAACAAACTCGCAAATGGCCGAAAATGCCACCCCTCAAATATTTTTTTTTTTAAGTGCAGCCCTTATGCCCCCATCGCATCACCTTCCTACGCCACTGCCGATAAACCACACAGAGACATATTCCGGGAAAGGGTGCCGCTTTGAATAAAATACTGAACTTTCGTCTATAGACCACACCTTTAATATTGATGTTTATTGATTTATTTTTTTAATCAAAGCTTGGGGTAGCTTTTAAGTCAACATAAAAAGTGTGGAAAATGGGAGGTTGAGAATTGTGGCTTAAAATCGAGAGCGATCTGCTGTTTTCTATTTGCAGAAGTAGACCAAGATATCAAAAATGTTTAAAATGATTTTTAAAAAGAATATCAATCAACGTTTAGAGCTGTAACTATATAGATAGACGGATAACAGGTCTAGGTAGCCCCATAGTGTCGCCCTCAACAAACTACCATAGAAAAATACTCTGTCGAAAGTTTAAATTACGATTAGCAAACTTTATTTAGGATATTTACAAAAATAATGACTGAAACAGTTAACTTACCACTTGACGGGACAAGGATCGAGGAGATGAGGTCTTTGGAGCGTCCTTACTTTGGCTGAATGCCTGAGATAAAGCCATCCCAGCGGCTGTAGTATACCATCGCTAAAACAAGACAAACAACAAAATCTTGAAATCTTAGAAACAAACGTCCCCTTGGAATATGAGCTATCCTAGTAGCATATATAAAAAAAAAATCAAATTGTTATACCCTTTTGCATCAGGTATATATAACATTTTCGGTCTCCAACCCCTCCATTTCGTATGAATTAATCCCCAGCCCTTCATTTTACGTCATTCTCCCCCCCCCCCCCCCCCCCCACCCCCCCCCCCGACCCCCAACCCCCTCGACTGGAACAACGCAAAATGTATTCAGCGGAAGATTTTCGTTTTGGTCTGGTAACGCAGTAAACAACACGCCATGCGCTTTCGAGCTTATCTCTATCGGATAGGCCAGCACCGCCAGGAAAACATTCCCAGCATCGGAAACAGTGCAGGATCAACCTAAGTGGGGCTCACGCCGTTTAGGAGACCCACGACATGGGATCCAATCAATTTGGATTTTTACATTTTAGTTATTTATATTTTAATTTTATTTTATTTGCTTTTTTTGTTTGTAGTTTTTGGTTTGGTGTTTTTTTTTAGGTGGAGTTGGCTTGATGATTTACGTGAACATAATTTTAAGACGTAATGTTATGTAATGATACTGGGGGGAATCTTGGGTTTCTCCATACCTAGAAAGTTATAGAAGTACGGGAAAAGAAGAATTAAAGGAAGCAAAACAAGTCAAAAGCTTTTCCTAAGACTGTAGAAGGGAGAATTTTGAGAGGCTGTCATCTGATATAATGTTAAGGCATAGATTTCGAAATGTCGACTGCCTAAGAGGCCTCCGAAGATCTTCATTCGTCACTTTATGGAAAATATATGCAAATACATTCATTTGGAAATATTTATGGTTAAGATAAATTATTGTCACAACTTTAAAAACTGATAATTTTTTTTAAATTTTTTAAAAATTTTTCTTTTGGTTTTTGAGGATGAAATGGATGAAAGGGAAATCAGAAGCACCCAAAGGTCAAGGACAAGCGATGTCTTGAAACCAGCTAAACAATTTCGCCACTAGCCAGAAGATTTTTTGTAAGATAACCAAGCCCGTGTCAGTCGCCAGCGTGTGCCAGCTTAAGCGACCTCATCTGACGAGGAATAGACCCGGCCTGCCTGCGGTATTTAGTATTGTTACAGTTGCCACTTACATAAACAAATTGATACCACCCAGTCCACCCCCTCACCCAAAATCCCCACTTCATATTTCTTTCTTTTTTCTTTTTTTCCGGAAGAGAAAAGAAAACCAGTCATCCGTGGTAAAACTAGAGAAAACCATACAATTCATGTTGAGTTGACGCTAAAGAGACCAATTTGCTATTTGTAACTAGGACTTTGGCCACCTAAATGCAAAGACTTTCAGTTCAGTATGTTATTTTCCACAAGAGACTTCTTTGACAAAAATATTCGTTTTTGATAACGGTCTGAGTATCGGGGCAACATGTCTTTACACTTGATCCTTTCAAATAAATACTGATTCTCAACATGCTTTCTGAACCTCTGGTGGTTGCGCTAAAAAGATGGATATGCACGTCGTTTAAGATAACATTTCACTAATGTTGTGGAGTCATTGCATTACGCAGATTTTAGTTACGATTACAGCTGTCTCTGCTAATAGCGTCCAACATACCGGTGACACGCATGACCACACAACGTGACAATTCAGATATATTTTTAAAACTGCAGAACTGTACATTTAATTTTATTGATGGGGCAAAAGGAGAGCATAGTTGAACATGAGTAACATCTATTAGAGACTGACCGAATATGACTTTCACCCAAAACCGAAGCCAAAACGAGACTTTCGGCCAAAACCGAACAATTAGGTATTTCGAAACTCGTTCGCGCACACGTTCTCCAAGCTGGGGGGGGATGAGAGGGAGCGGGGTATATAGATATTTATATACTTTAAATCAGAATTGATATTATCGTGAATTCTTCTTATTGAACATTTAATGGATACTACGGCATTTACCACTTAAAAATAAAAAAATAATTATAAATTAATTTAAAGTTGTTAAAAATGTATTTTAAAGTAGTATGGTAAGTGAAATAAATTCATGCAAAATAAACCCCTGGGCGCCCTTTACTTTTGTAATATAATTAAAACGCTACGTAGACATATTTAGTAACGGTATCGATCGAAAGTTTAGCCATTTTTTTTGTTTAATGGCATTGCCCACTAAAATGTCAAGAAATAAGCTTGGAAATAAGTCTTTGTTCTGCCAAACCAAACATTTTCGTCGAAACACGCGTTCTTATTGGTTGACATTTTTTTTGTTTATCCGCAAATCATCATTGGTCGGCTAATTTTTTTATTTGACCCACAATTTTTTTTTTAAAGTCGAGTGAATGTTGAGCTACCTATAAGATGATAATATACGAAACAGTGAACGTTGAGCTACCTATAGGATGATAATATACGAAACAGTGAATGTTGAGCTACCTATAAGATGATAATATACGAAACAGTGAATGTTGAGCTACCTATAGGATGATAATATACGAAACAGTGAATGTTGAGCTACCTATAGGATGATAATATACGAAACAGTGAATGTTGAGCTACCTATAGGATGATAATATACGAAACAGTGAATGTTGAGCTACCTATAGGATGATAATATACGAAACAGTGAATGTTGAGCTACCTATAAGATGAGAATATACGAAACAGTGATAGATGAACACGTATGTGTAGGCTTAAGATTCATAGGCTTATTTATTTATGCCTAATCATACAAGAGGGAAATACAATTTTTAAAGGTTCATTATTTCCTTCTTTGAATTTGTGTCCATGCACGTGACTAATTTGGTTTGATATTTCAACATTTTACTTCGTTGCCTATGACAAAATTTATGAGCACGATAATCATGAATGTCAAAGAATGCATGAAATGAATAATAAACCAAAAAATAAACCAAAGTGATGAATACACCTGAAGCAAGCTTTGGGTTCCCTAATTTTAAAATTAAAACAACAATAATAATGGAAATACCTTTTCCTAAGATTTTTTTCTTCACAATACCATTTACCTTTGCCTACGATAATGATAAATCAAAATGAATGCAACGAATGAATGAACTGAATTAGGGTTCCCAAATTTTTTTTTAATCAAACAAAAAATAATAATAGAAATATTACCATTCCCATAGTTTGTTTTTTTTTTCCCACAAAGCTAATTACATTTGTCTAAGCATAATTGTAATTTTATTTTTTGGAAATATTGGACAAAAATGTCATCATGCAGCTGTGAGCAGTGCTCGCAGAGGAATAGTTATACATCATACCATGATAGCAAAACGTCGAGCAATAATGGATATCGGATTGGCACACAACCTAAAAGCCTACATCACTTTCGGCCGAAACCGAAAATAACCAAAAGTTATCTTTTCTGTTTCTTAATACATTTATTGTATAAACATTTATAATTATTTTATTATTTGAAAAAAAAACACCCACCTGTTACGGATTCGAAACCAGAATTAGCGACCTGTAAAGAATGCAAAACTCATAAGGGGTTGAGATTTTTTTTTCTGCTGGCGGTTTTATCAAAATTTCCTTGTTCTAGGTATCCATTAATAGGGAGAAACATTAGAACATCAAGGCACTCGTTGCTATTGGCAAACCTCTAAATTAACCCTGACAATGCATTTTTATTCATTCACGATTCACAGACAATAACAATTAACTCTGAAAATCAACTCTTGTATAGTTTAATTCAGGTCTTACTAAACTTTTAATTGTATTAATTTATCCCGAAATTTCCCGGGAAATCCAGGGATGAGGAAACAGAGCCGTTCTTAGGAGTTTTGGGGCCCTAAGCATGGAGCGTAGGTTGGGGGGGCCCCGGAAGGAGGGGGTCCGGGGTGGAGCTCCCTCGAGCTGAGGAGAAAACACCACCCACCACTGCGGCACCTCCATTCTGCCGATTTCCTGTCTGCCACCCCCAAAGCTTCCCCTTGCTGCTTCCCTTCCCCTGCCTCCGAATTCAACTCAGAATGATAAATTTCAGGATAAGGAAGGTAACGTCGTGAGTGACACAGACGGCTGCGGTGCCAGTTTTAAAAAAAAAAACGGGGTATCGAGGGCGCCTCACGGGGGCACCCTCACGTTCGGGGCCCTAGGCGGATTGCGTAGTCAGCGTATGCCTAAGAACGGCCCTGGAGGAACTCGTTGTTCCCGTTTACCCTTATGAAAGCGCATTCGAATATTGACTAGCAAATATCTCGTTTTAAAATGTTGTATTACGTTTCAAAAGTGTTTTTATTACACAGTGGAAGGTTTCATTGAATTCATGTGATGTCTCTTTTTAAGCTTCAACTTCAATTTAACAACCAGATTTTGTTTCTCTCATCGCTTCTGTCATCACACACCACCACATTCGCTAAAAAAGCCGCCCTTTATGATAAACATCCCATGAAAAATATTCGGCGTGTGTTATTTCCTTTACTTCTTTTTCTTCTTCTCTTCTATATACTGCTTTGTATATGAATGTATTTGTGTGTGTGTGTATTGTGTATGTATGTATATAGATGTGTGTGTGTGTGTGTGTGTGTATATGAAAGAAACAACGAGTTTGTAGGCAATGAAAATGCTGTATATGACAAGTTGTGAGCCGGCACAGTTGACATAGTTACATTGAACATATCGAACTGCGACCGGAAGCGTGAATAGCAGCGCCAGGAGCCGTGACCGGAGACACTGAAACGCCACTAGGATAGAATGATGTCCTTAGGGGCGGACGGATTATCGCACACGCATAGCAGATGTGCTTAGCCGGTGTTGTATCCAGGGGCTCTCAAACCAAATATAAGTTGTTAAAAAAATTGTTAGATTTTACATAAAGGGTCGTCGAAAACAACGAGTTGATTAAATAATATATTGTCGTTTACTGAGCGCTGAGTTGCATCCAACATTCGCTCCCAGAACATTTAGGGGGGCATCCATAAATGACGTTATGCTGTTTTGGACACTTAATATAATTCAATGACTATATAATACTAATAGTTAAATTAGTGTTGTAATTTTAAAAAATACATAGAAAAAGTAAAACTTACATCGTGAATTCAGGCTAAACTCTTGGCTTGTTTGAAGCACACAATGTAATGGTAGCACAGGTCTAAACATCCCTGGATTAAAATGTACTCTGCAGGAACCAGTTATTATCGATGGATTCTCTAAGTTGGTAGGACGAATTCACAGAGCCTTTAAAAACTGTTTGAACCATAGCCTATAACACTCACTTATTTTCATGCAATATTTTTTTTTAAACAATCTTTACAATGTTCCACTTCTACTCAATTAATAATTTCTCTATTTAACTATCTATTCTGTAATAATAATTGTAATTGCTAACACAGCTTAGATGAAATCTCCGTCCTCCAGCCACGTTTTCTAATAGTTCAACAAAAGATTTTTTTTTTTTTTTTTCAAAAGTGACAGTAGCTAAATCGCACTGTCATTGCTGTCAGTGGGGTCGACAAGATAGCCATCTGTTGAAAATAAATACAAACAAAAAAGAAGTGGTTAAGAAGTGTGCTATAGTGCAACATCAGGACTTGAGAAGCATGAAGTGTCACATGCGCTTTAACAGGCAAAACTACTATGTGCGCATGAACTGATTATATCACGTAACAGCATACCGTCATAATATTGTAGTAGAAATAACCGTACAGGCCGATTTACCATGTTTAGTATATATACAAACGCAAGGTTACATCTCGCAATGCCAAAAAGTGTTAAAGATCATTGTTGTCTTTATTATAATTTATGACAAACTTTATGTTTGAAATTCGTAAGTCTTACACCGGCATGCATTGACAGCGATTATTATGAAAATATCCCGTCCATGAAATGTGTCAGTAAACGTCTCACAGCAGTGTTAAAGTAATCAGAATAAGTGTCCATAACTTGCTGTGCCACGTTGGCCATTCATAGCTTAAAGCAGGGGTCTCAGAACTTTTCAGCCCGAGGGCCGCATTAACTATCAAACAGCAGCTCGGGGGCCGAATACATACTCGAGGTCCAAATAAAGAAGAATCAAAACAGGGATGTTGTTTTAAATTATTTATGTATTATTATTTCATTCAGTTATTATTCAATAACACATCGATACACGACACATGAACACCTGTATTAGTGGGAATGGTGAAATAGTTTCCTGGATGCCAAAATAGCAGTGATTAGCAGACATATTTATGTATTATTATTTCATTCAGTTATTATTCAATAACACATCGATACACGACACATGAACACCTGTATTAGTGGGAATGGTGAAATAGTTTCCTGGATGCCAAAATAGCAGTGATTAGCAGACATTTCTGGATTTAGATTTGATATCCCTAACATCAACACTGACCTGAGATGATCATCTGACAAATTTGTTCTCACATTGTTCTTCACTTATTTCGTTCATGAAAATGTTTGTTCACACAGGCATGTTTTTCCAAAGATTAAATGGTACATTGATGCAAAAGTTTTGACATTAGGAAAGTCTTCCTTGGGCGAAAAGTAGTTAAAAACCCACCGGTCCTTCTTTTAACTTGTCCCTAAGGAGGTTATTTGCTTGCAAATCATCTGGGTGACTGGCAACATCTGCTTCAAATTGGTTTTGAAAAAGTCTCACTTCTTCTGCCTTGAATCAAAGTCATAAAACCACTGCTGACACTGTAGCTGGAGGTCTTTGATGATCTCGCATACAAATGACTTGGGGAACTCCGCTGTTGCTTCAGCCCTGAAGACCGTCCCCTATTGAAAGTGTGTCAAGTTGTTGGCCTCGACTTGTTCCAAAAAACAAGAAGAATTTGGATCTGAAGGCCTTTAGGTGGGTGTATAGATCAGTAACTAGATTTTCCTCTCTTTGTTGTTTTAGGTTCAGAAATTTTAAATGACTAGTTATGTCTGCAGCAAAGACCAATTTCCATACCCACTCTTCATCAGACACTAATGGCTTACTTAAATTCCCTGCTGTGAATTTTCTCACGACTTAGCCATCTTACTGCTGTGTAATATGGTATATCTTGCGATTCTGTGTCTGTATCTTTTAACATGTCTCTGGAAGTGTCTATGGTTGAGCCCATGTGACCTTATTAAATTCACCCTCGTCACCACAGGATTCAGTACGCTGCTAATGTCCACATATTTTTCCAACACAAAGCTTTCTGCTGATTAACATAGTGCAGGAACATTGATTGCAGAAATTGTTTTCTCATTACACATCTGCTTCACTTGTCCAAACAAGCCTCTCTTTATGCCACTCATGTTCTTTCCTCACTCCATCAACAGTCAGGCAACTGACGTTAGTCCAGTCCAAGTTATAATCAGCAAATGTTGTTTTTTTTACACATCTGCTTCACTTGTCCAAACAAGCCTCTCTTTATGCCACTCATGTTCTTTCCTCACTCCATCAACAGTCAGGCAACTGACGTTAGTCCAGTCCAAGTTATAATCAGCAAATGTTGTTTTTTTCAACTCATTGAATATATCCTCTCAGGTAACAGTGTCGCCCATGCTATGTCGGGAAGCCAGCTCTTGTGTTAGTTTCATGTCTTCATCCACACCTCTAACGAACAAAGGTACTTGAGCGGTGGAACAGCTGCCCAGCGATTCATCCATTGCAATTAAAAATTGGCGAAACTTGCTTGCATTTTTCGCTATTCGAGTCACAATGTTTTCACCCATGTCTGCAGCTCCGCCACTATATGGCGTTATATCATCTCATTGACTGTGAACAGAAGTAGAACAACTAAGCAGCGAATAAGGTTTTGCCAAGTCATGATCTGTTAGAAGACATAACGCACTCTGCGCGCCTCTATTTTAATGCGGTAAAAACATAGGGTCCACGTAAGCGGCATCTGATCCTGGCAGGATACACGTAAATTTCCGTAATATTTTCCGTAGACAAAAAGGTCTCCGCGTGCCGCATGGGAGGGCCTGGCGGGCCGTAGTTTGGAGCCCCTGGCTTAAAGAATGAACATCCTGTCGGCCGTCAGCGGAAACAAATTAATCGGAAGCCTGTATTTAAAAATGCAAATGCTCAAAGCTGTTAACACAAAAAATAAACCAAAGTGATGAAAACACCTGAAGCAAGTTTTTTTTAATTTATTTATTCTTCTGTTTCACCCCATACACGCCTCAACGACATCTGTAACAGATCCTGGTTGGAATTAGCCGGGTGTCAAAGTCGGCCACGCATAACAAGGTAAAATGGAAGGGAAGACCTGTTGAACCCTAGCCGCAACCGACTGTAGCAAGTGGGTCTGCCATGACACAAGTTTAAGAGTACCGGTAGCTATATGAAATCCAGATGCCGGTGTACAGTGTTAGTTTTTTCCATAATCTGATTTGTTAATATTATGCAACTTACAATTGTTTCTACAGTCTACAGCGTGGCTAACTTATTTGCAGGTATATCTCAATAATATACACACAAAATTAGTGACAACTGTAAAGAGTAATCACCCTTTTCCCAAAGGACGTTGTTTTTTTTTTTTAAATTGCATTTTTAATGATAATTTCTTTGTAATTTCTAATTGCAAAATAAAATGTATTTTTAAACCACCGCTAATAGTTTTTCGATTCAAAACAGAGGGCAGGGTAATTTCAGCCGACAGGTCAGGTTCTTTCCGTATGTAACGTAGTCAACCCCTGCTTTCAATGAAACAATGGAATGAATAAGAATCAATGGTTTTGCAACTTGAATAAGAATCAATCGTTTTGCAACTTGAATAAGAATCAATCGTTTTGCAACTTGGATAAGAATCAATCGTTTTGCAACTTGAATAAAAATCAATCGTTTTGCAACTTGAATAAGAATCATTCGTTTTGCAACTTGAATAAGAATCAATCGTTTTGCAACTTGAATAAGAATCAATCGTTTTGCAACTTGAATAAGAATCATTCGTTTTGCAACTTGAATAAGAATCAATCGTTTTGCAACTTGAATAAGAATCAATCGTTTTGCAACTTGAGTATTATATATGTATATGGGGGTAAAGATGTTTTGAAATAATTTAACACGATTTATCCACTTAAGTGTGGTGGAACTCCAGCCATTTTGTACAAAGCGCAACTGCTCCAACATTACCGTAACATATCTGCCTCGTTTTGGGTCAACTGACGAACGGACACGCTCCGATACCCATGAATGACCCAGCTCAGCTGCATGCAAATTAACCGTGAACACTCGGTTGAATACGCTTCCCATTATTGTGCAGATAGAATATGTTAGCATACATGGAAAAGTTTTCTAACCTTGAAATACATACCCTAAGTTATGGATCAACAATTTTATGTTGGTGACCTGCCGGATAAAGTGAACATCGCAAAATCATGACCTTAGGTTAGACTGCAGGGGTATCCAAAATTTTCAGCCTGAGTGCCGCATTAACTATCAAACAGCAGCTCGGGGGCCGAATACACACTCGAGGTCCAAATAAAAAAGAATCAAAACATGGATGTTGTTTTTAATCATTTATGTATTATTATTTCATTCAGTTATTATTCAATAACACATCGATACACGACACATGAACACCTGTATTAGTGGGAATGGTGAAATAGTTTCCTGGATGCCAAAATAGCAGTGATTAGCAGACATTTCTGGATTTAGATTTGATATCCCTAACATCAACACTGACCTGAGATGATCATCTGACAAATTTGTTCTCACATTGTTCTTCACTTATTTCGTTCTTGAAAATGTTTGTTCACACAGGCATGTTGTTCCAAAGATTAAATGGTACATTGATGCAAAAGTTTTGACATTAGGAAAGTCTTCCTTGGGCAAAAAGTAGTTAAAAACCCACCGGCCCTTCTTTTAACTTGTCCCTAAGGAGGTCATTTGCTTGCAAATCAATGACCTCCAGGTGCAGTTCATCTGGGTGACTGGCAACATCTGCTTCAAATTGGTTTTGAAAAAGTCTCACTTCTTCTGCCTTGAATCAAAGTCATAAAACCACTGCTGACACTGTAGCTGGAGGTCTTTGATGATCTCGCATACAAATGACTTGGGGAACTCCGCTGTTGCTTCAGCCCTGAAGACCGTCCCCTATTGAAAGTGTGTCAAGTTGTTGGCCTCGACTTGTTCCAAAAAACAAGAAGAATTTGGATCTGAAGGCCTTTAGGTGGGTGTATAGATCAGTAACTAGATTTTCCTCTCTTTGTTGTTTTAGGTTCAGAAATTTTAAATGACTAGTTATGTCTGCAGCAAAGACCAATTTCCATACCCACTCTTCATCAGACACTAATGGCTTACTTAAATTCTCTGCTGTGAATTTTCTCACGACTTAGCCATCTTACTGCTGTGTAATATGGTATATCTTGCGATTCTGTGTCTGTATCTGTTAACATGTCTCTGGAAGTGTCTATGGTTGAGCCCATGTGACCTTATTAAATTCACCCTCGTCACCACAGGATTCAGTACGCTGCTAATGT